CTTTTATGACGATTTGATACAAAAGTGACTGTTTTGTGCTGAATGGAACAATTACAAATTCAAGACCAAAGCTTGAACAATAAAGGTAAATATACAATTATATATATGTCACTATATATATATATATATATATATATATATATATATATATATATATATATATATATATATATATATATATATAAGCAGTATCTGCATTTGAATTTGTTCCTGATGTACAATTCCATTGCCTAGCATGAAGATTTCGGAACTTGGTTGCTTCCTTTATTACGTGAAATACATGTAACTGAAGATGAAATGTTAAACAATTTAACCAATATTTAGGTTGCAGTAAAACTATATGCTCTCAATTACCTCTCGCAGTCCCCTTAAATAAAACTTTCATGATGGACCTAGAGGGCATCAGTAATACATATAATTATATGTCCTGTCTGAACTTTTCTTATTACAAATAAAATACTATAGTAAGTGAATTTAACTGTTTTGATAATCTTTTAATATTAGCTCATATCACAAATAAGCATAAATCTCAAAAGAAGCATTTCAATGTATGTGTATATATGTGTTGTCGGGGGAGGGGGGGTCTTTAGAATACTGGATGAAATTTCCATACCAAATAAACAGATAGATTGTTTTACAAAAATTCGGAGCAGGCACCTGCTACTCTTGAGCGCAATATTAAATCCGTCATGCCTGTCATGAAATCATATAAAATTCCCTAAGGGTTTGGAAAATTGAAGTAAATTGAAAAAACTATATGATGAGGTGATTTACGAGTCTTAAAATTTCATCCCTAGGTGGATTTTGGATTGATTCAGAATATGGTTGCCAGATTTCCTTTGGAAAATGCAATCTGCAATTTGTCTGTTGCATCAGCCAGTAGAAAAGCATAGAAATGGAACTTCGGTCAGAGATAGGACGCTGTTTAAATAAAGAAAGAATAACGGGAGACAAAAGAAAATCTTATTCCTTTAACAGGGAAAGAAAGATGCGGGAAGCTTCAGTCTTTTTCATATTTATAAGATATAATATTATGTTAACCTTAATATTAAGTTTTTCCAGCTTGCATGGTATTTAGTTAGAAACATCGTTTGTAATATAAAAATTATACATTCATTATCCTAAAATTTTATGTCATTAATTTTTTTCCTATGTTTCATTTTTAAATCAGGGAGAAGTAATATTGTATTTCCTTTCCTTGATATTTTATTATATAACAAGAAATTACCGTTGGAACGATTTTGGAGGTTTTAACAAAATTATAAGGATTAGCAAATCATCATTTTGAAAGTTTTTAGTGATACTAACAAAATAAAAAAAATGCAAAGCGTCCGTGTAGTACATGTACGTTTTTAAGTTATTTTTTGCTTGAAAGATAAAATATCAGAGACGTAAAATTTTAAGAAGAAAATTATCAAGTGGAGAAATGTTGGTAATAGGGTGTGTATCGGTTTGATAAAAATGCAGGGGGTCATCAAATCTGCAAAATAATTGAAAAGTAACCGTTAAAATTAACTCTAAATGTGAATTATATGCAATTTTTAAAAAAAAAAAAATGTAGCAAAATTTGTAGACATTTACTTTGTAACATTGATTTCTGCATTGGTTTTAATAAAAAGTACCGAATTAAAAAAAAAATATCTAAGATTTTGAGAGAAAATTGATACTCTATTTCTTAGTTTGAAAATATGTCAACGAGATGAAGATACTGTAAACTAGTTTGATAAAAAATAAATAAATAAATAAAAAAAAAGTAACTACATAATCTCGATATAACGGAACAGTTTGTCAGATACTGAGGAAATTAACTCCGAAAATTTTTAGTTAAGATGGGGAGGGGGTACTTGTAGAGTCTTCCTATCATCAAGATGTAATGTTTGTTGATTTTGCTTTTTATAAAATACACTGCGACATTGATATTCTTTGAGGGTAAATTAATCCCGTAGAGTGTTGCTAGCATCAAGATTTTAAGTTTGTATTTCCTTTTTTAAATAGGACTTTTTGTCTAAGGACCTCGTTTGCATTTCCTGTGAAAAATGTATACTTTATCATTGAGATATATTGGGGGGGGGGGGGAGGGGGAATTTACCCCATAGATCGAAACTTGCCATCATCAAGTTGTAATATTGTTCGTGCTTTGAATAATATATTTTATTATTGATATTCTTTAAGATGAAATTTACCCCAGAGAGTCTTTTTGTCATCAAGATGTACAGATGTAATGTATGCTTTTTCTGTAAAAAGTAAGTTCTGTATCAAATTATTTTAAGAGAGGAAATTTACCTTGTAAGGTTCTATTGTTTTAAATATGTACGTAATGTTTGTTTTTTCTGTGAATAATATAAACTGTATCAGTGATATTCTTGGGGGGTGGGGGGTGGGGGGGTTACTCCCTAAAGTCCTGTTATCATCAAGTTGTAATGTTTGTTCATGCTTTCAATATAATATATAATGTATCTTTGATGCTTTTTGAGGGAAAATTTACTCCGTAGATACTTGCTTTTTTAAGTGTAATGTTTGCTTTTTCTACGTATAATATAAACTGTATCAATAATATTTTTTGAAAGGAAATTTACCCTGTAGATTTTTGTTACCGCCAAGATATTGTGAAGCATAAATTCTGTATCAATGATATTCTTTGAGGGGAAAATTACACCGTAAAGACTTGCTATCTAAAAGATGGATGTTTTTGTTTTGCAATACGGTGTATAAACTGCATCAATGTCTTTTTTTAGAGAAAAATTACCCTGAAGAGTTTTGCCATCTTCAGGATGTTTGCGAATCATAAATACTGTTTAGTGATTTTCTTTCGGGGGAAATTTACCCCGTAAAGTCTTGCTATTATCAAGATGGTTGCTTTTGCTTTCAAACACTGTATATAAACTGAATGTCATTTTTGAGAGGAAATTTACCCTGTAGAGTTCTGCGATTTTCGAAGTGTAATGTTCGCTTTTATGAGAGAGTGAATACTTTATCAGTGATATTCCTTGGGGAGAAATTTACCCCGTAAAGTCTTGCTATCTAAAAGATGGTTTCTTTTGCTTTGAAATACTGTAGGTAAACTGTATCAATGTCATTTTTGAGAGGAAATTTACCCTGTAGATTTTTGCTATCTTTAAGATGTGAATCAGTGATTTTCTTTTGGGGGAAATTTACCCCGTAAAATCTTGCTAAATTGTCAATATTTCCTCTATATATTTACATTTCAATTTGTTTGTGACACTAGATCATAATTCTATTAGAAAAATGCTGATTTTTCACAATCTTTACAATAAATATCTTATAAAACTGTGTTTTTTGTTAGATTTTGTCAATACCTAAGGGCAAAATGCCTAAAACAGAAAAAAAGATTTTCTGTTTTGATTTTGGAATGCATTTAGTTTAATTCTCCAGCAATGGGACTTCACCTGAAAAATGCGTAACCTTTGCAAAGTATGTTATATGTTTATTAAGTAATGTTCTCGATTTCACAAAAGCAGCAACACTTTTCAAGATAAGGAACACTTCTTCTATCTGTATTTAAAAAATGGTCAAGATCTACAAAGTGTATGCCCTTGTACTAAGGTGATGTATTGAGGCACCTCGGTGTAAAACTTGCCATTCCTTTACACAAATCAGGGGATATTAAATTTAATACAATTTTCGGTTAAACATTAATTATGAAATTTAATGAATATTAAGTAAAGGAACTAATTGTCTAATTAAACGTCTGTAAATAATATTCTGTTTGTTAATAAAATGCATTTTCACTATGAAACAATCACTTCTTCAAATAAAATACCTCAAATTTTACGATGATGACGTCATGTCAACAGATGCATTGCGATCAGTGACTTAAGGGGATGAAGGACACATGCCATGGAGGAGTGACAATCCCCTGCCGACCGGTCACTACCGCCGTGTGCTCCTTGTCATGATCGGGAAATAACAGAAAAATCCGTCGACAATTCAGTGTGAAAATAATGGCCTAACAATTAGTATGAAAGCGTCCGTCAGATTTTGACTCAAATTGCATTTGCTGACACGGTCATTGTATCGACCATAAAACGAAATGAAGCCTTTAAACGAGACTGCTGATATTCTTGTTTAATCAACTTGTTAATCAATAATTTACCTCGTTTTAAAAAAATGAGAAATTAAGAAATTTCCAGAATTCCTATGCTACCAGAGTTCCATGCGAAATTATTACAAAACATACAAAAGACCAAGGATAATTGTTCCTTACCAAGAGATACGGTTACTTTTATTTCTTTGCAGAGAGTTTAGTATTCCTATGAAGCAGAATTTGTTCAAAATCTTTTACGAGAAAAGAAGAAAACATTTGCTGAGGCCTTCAACTCGACGTTTTAGATATATCGACGACGTATAGTCAATTAACAATGGGTATTTTCATTCTTATGTCAACACGATATATCCCGCTGAGCTTGAGATAAAAGATACCACAGAGTCTGACACATCTCTTTCTTCACAACTGTTTATAAACTTCAAATTAAACATGAAACACTGTAAATATTAAGCGTATGGTAGTTTAGTAGTAGTGCTAGTTGTTTTACTTTCTCTGTTTCCTTTGTTTTTATGACTTCTTAACTTTTTTCTTTGTTCTGAGCAAGGAACAGGTCGTTCCGAAAATTTGACAATTTTTATTGTTGTATTTATTCTTCGTTTATTGTAATGAAACCCCAGTTAACAATCGTTTGGTACGTTGTTGACTGACAGACGGTCGCATTATTCCCAACTTCTTCTATAATCCTTAAGTTTTTTTACTCTCCAAGTTTAAATATTAATGCCATTTTTTGTTAGTGAGATTATTACATTTACACTAAATACCTCTCACTGGCTGTTCGATTTAACACAAACTATTCTTAAGAATTTTATCATTTTATTATTAGAATAAAAACATCATTACATTTATAATAAGATATCTACAATATCCTTATGAAGGCAATATTATCAAAACTTCCATCATTTACATGTAGCATATGAATATCTAAACAGGGCTTTACATATTTCTACATTTTTCAATAAACAGCATTTTTTAATATATATTTTAGTATGTATTTCACAAAAATAATTTAAAAAAAGAAAAAAAAACCCAGACACTTAATTAGGCTTAATCATCATCATTGTCTCCGTCACATATGTTCCGGATGTAACTATAGGAGACCAAGGATTGCGCCAGGCTGACGAGAACCAAGGACCATTGAGATAAGCGAGGTGACAGAAGTTATACCACCACCCTCCTCCAAAGTAAGCAGCACAGTTACCAGTATACCTGTCGTTGTCTCTGTCTGGTGTACTAAAGTACATCCCAGACAGATCAGCATTAGAATTACCAGTGTTAAACATGCCGTCACCTGTAGAATTAAAGAAAATCTTATTGCATAAGTACTAAATTCACATCACTATAGTAGTCAAATTCAAATTGTTATAATTAATCATGCATTTATAACACAAAAGTTCAAGCAGATTCTAGGAACTTTGAAATTACATGAAGTATTCCTTCACGGTCCTTTATTATCTTTGTTTTTATATAAAATTATTGAGCTTTACGTTATGAAAACAATGTTTGAATATTTTTTAAAGAAACGCTTTAACTGTTTGTGAAGTATATATAATAAAAAAAATTGGCTAATAAATTTCGTACAGTCATTTTGGGTATTCGGAATCACCCCGCGTTTCGGTAATTTATCTTATCGCTGTATCTCGCACGATAAATTCGTACGACAACCAGTCGTTTAAAGCATGGGAAATACTTATTAGATTCAAAATATAAAAAAGGGTAACATCATGTGTCATTTAGGAATATAAATTACAAACTTGCTATCCTTACGGAAGAAGATTTAGTATAAAGAACGTTGCATTGTTTTTCTAATCGATGTAGTTGCTTTGTTGGCTGAGGAAACAAGGCAAATAGGTATTGATTGAATGCCAATTTCATAAGCCTATATGAACACACATTTTTGACAACACATTATATATAATTCAGCATTATGTAAGTTATGGCCTCAATATATTTTTAAGCCCACTACAGTATGATGTATTTCAATCACGTGTATACAAATAAAATGCACACTCTGCACACTTGTTATTTGTCAGATAATTTTTGTATCATGGTATGTTTTCTTTAAAAGCAAGGGGTGTGAAAGTAATAATATCGCAAAGCAAGACTAAGACCTATTAAAGACTAGCCCGGGTTAATTGACCAGTGTTGATCCTTTTATCATACACATATGAGCATTTGTGTACAATATGTACGTATACAAATATGTGTTCGTGCAAGTTACAAAGTTAAATGTCATACGTGCTATATAATCGTTATAGTTTAATTCATCATATATTATTTCATGTTATCATGATCATTTTTTTCCTTGCAGCCAACTCAGAATATAACGATGCATTATATTTTCAAAGTTTTTTTTTTTGGTTTAAAATTAAACTACGTTTTAAAAAAAAGACATGTTAATTTTTCTAAAAGGACAATATTTTACAATCAAGTACTCTCTGTAACCATTACTTTGTTGGCAAATACTTTTCTATGTCATTCGCTGTTTTATAGTGCATACAAAGGGGGTTGCATAATTTCTAAACAAACGATAAGAAGAAACAAGAAAAAAAATCTTTTTTTATTTATGGAGACTTTTGACAAATCAATCCAACCAACTCATTAATAATAATGTTATCATCTGGCTTTTTTTAAAATTCGATATACCCGGAAATTTCCCACAAAACACTAAAAGGTGATGTAAATATAACTCTCCTATAGGCTGCTGAACAGAAGATGGACTTTCCTTGTAATGTCGATCTAATTTTTCTTAGAACTGGCTTTTCTTAAATACCAAACAACCAGGTATAAAATTCTTATTCAAATCCTTTGTAGTCAAAGTGTAAAAGATGATTCGGAATATCAAATTTGATTGTATAGAAACAGAGACTTAGCAAATAATTCACTTAAAAACCATAACTTGCGCATGTAATATCTCTTTTGGGGTGTTCTGAAATTTTTTGATATTTTTGTTTTATTTTTTAATAATACGGCTCTTGATTTTCAAGCACCGGCTCGACTTCTACTGAAACAAACGTGCCTATGAGGAGTCAACATCTATTAAATATTGTCGTTTCACAAAAAAAAAAAAATACCCACTGAAATCACATGCACTCTGCCGGTTAAAATTGTGAACGATCTATTTTAACAATTTGCTTATCTAATTTTTACTCTCTCTCTCTCTCTCTCTCTCTCTCTCTCTGCACTTTGATAGTCACATATTTAACTTAGTATGTACCTAAGGTGCCAGCAACTGGTCCTCCAAGGAAGATTGTGTAGTTGTCAGCTTCATCAGAAATGGAAAACTGATGATAAAGTTCATACAAGGTATTGCCATCTCGTAATCTAATAGAGACGTAGAGGGAAGAGTTCCTTCCCTTTGTCAGCTTGTGAATCACGTCATTTCCTTCAAAATATCATCGAGGGTTACATGGAGGAATAATTCAGCAAAATATGTTTATTTCAGGATTTTTGTAAGGTAACGCTACCAAATAAAACAAAACAACTTTCACAAAAAGTGAGTGAAAAAAATGTGTAAGGTATTATTATTTTTTTTTGGGGGGGGGGGAGGGGAGGGGGAAGGTGGGGGGTTGATACGATAAATATGAATTGTGATAATGTTAAGAAGAAGATACGGTTTGGACTTAAAATTTAATGTTTGTAAAAAGTTATAAAATTGGCGTAAATGTGAGTTGAGTATATGGATGTGAAAAATCATAAAATAATGTTGCATGAAGAAGGGTCATTCTGGAAATATGACATCATTAATAATTAGGTGTATTTCTGAGTTTTAAACAGAAAAAACTCAAACTGGCACATTTTAGGGATCATTTCCCTTACGAAAAAAAGTCTCCACAGCCGTCTTTCAATTTTCAGATATGTTGTTGAAAATCCTTTAGAAATTATAACATCTCAAAATCTTTGTGAGCGATGCATGTGCTTTATATTGTCTGAAATAAAATTCCACTGAAAATTGAAGTCTTCTGCAACTTTTAGCAAAATACGGGAAAATGCACAAGTTCATGACGTCATAATTAGCATTTTGGAGGTCATATCGATTTGTATATTCTTACTGCATGGAATTCCAATGATTTTGAAACGATGAGTTTTAATTTCTTAAATCATTTTCATATGAAAGAAAAATGCTGATTTGTATTGAAACTGTACCTTGTTCTTTAACATAACTAAATAAAAGTGTATTCCTTGACATATCAATATATGCATACAAATAAACATAACAATGAAAAAAGCATAAGCTTTTCACAGATGTCAATAAGTATCTACCAATCCAATATGAGTCATGAGGGTTCCCGAAACCTCTTTTGTACTCCGCCCACGTTCTGTTAAAACTGACAGCTCCACTCAACCGCTTCTGGATTGCCTACAGAAATAAAAAATAGCGTTTAAGTCCTATAGATATAGTTTATCTTTAATATATTGAAATGAGAATCATTGTCCCTTTTTTATTTCATATGAGAATACTACAGGCACTTAAAAATAGAGAGAGAGAATATGATCAGAGAGAAAAACAGAGAGAGAGAATATGATCTTACTGTCCACCCTCCGCCCTTTGTCACCATATCACAGTACACGTCTACCTGGATCTCGTTACAAAAGGGTTTAATTCTATAAACACCAGACTTTTTTCGTCCGCTTACATATACCTCCTCACAATCTATATTTCTTTTGGAACCTATATAATAAAGATAGAATGATAATAATAACTGGAAAAGAAAAAGAGTTTGGCTTCTGGATTTCACGGGCATATCCTTTTTTATCATAGAAGTAAAACCCAAGTGATAGAAAACAATATTCTTCACTATTGTAATCAAAACAATCCAATAGCAACTCAATGATTTTCAATATACATACCTCTTTGTTTGTTAGATTTTTAAAAAAATATTTACAGCTATTTCCCGTGCGTAACATTGTTTGGATAATGCACGTTTTTCACTGTATAGACACAGATTCAACAGAGAAATTCATTACTATGTCATGAAAGGTTCATAACATAAACGAGCTTGTTATAATGTAAAGTTTGTGAGTACAAAGACATGAGTTTAAGCATCGATAAATTCTGGAAAAAAAGGTTTATTTCTTATTATTCCGATTACAACATTTTAAAATAATTTCTCCTTGAAGCCTCCATACTATCCGTTATTTCTGTATAGTGTAGGAATAATTTATTTTTGAAATAATTTTTCTTTGAAGCCTCCATATAATATGTTACTTCCGTACAGCGTAGGAATACATTATGCCTCAATGTGGAAACGGAACGTAATCGAGACGAACATCGATCAAATTTCAACTTTATTTGTCAAAGCATTCAATAGAACATGCTTTTAAAAACTCTTCGAATATCGATTAATTTAGCAAATATCGTAAATTATACCAGAATACTTTAGAAGAATTCGTCCTTGACATTAACGACAAAACTCTCTAAAACGAAAGTAGCATATCGACGACAACTTTATTTGCTCTGGTTTGTTCAAAGCTGGGACGGAAAATATATGATGTAGAATTATGAACTTGATGCTACTGAGGCAAAAAGGTGTGTTTCTCTTTTCTGTCAGGGCTACCGATTACTGAACTAATTTGTTTACTTTAGGAACGCGATAATAAGACATCGGAAAGTTTAATAACAATTAACCATTCGTGTTCTGACATAATATACCCATGTGTCAGTCCTGTGTGTCTTCGGTTTTGTTTTGTTTTGTTTTTTTTAATTTAAAGTTTCAAGTTTTTGTAATAGTTTAGCGTAAAAAGACTAGAAGAAATGATTAATTTCATTTTTATACAAAAAAGCTAGGCCAAGAAAGAAGTTTTGATTGAGAGATGGATCGATATGTAAACTTTTTTCTTGAATTTGTTCTAGTCAAATTTAAACACAAGATATTGAAAAATAAAATTAAGATTGGAATTATAAGGCTACATGTATTCAATTATTATCCATCAGCTATTAAGGTTAATATGATGTTCTTTAAGCAATTAAAGTTGTTGAGTTTTGTAAATATAGATATTTTGGAATTTGGTCTTTAAACGCCTTTATCACAAATCGTATGCGAGCCTATAGTACATACGTTATACGTCATCAATAAAAAAAGCATTAACTATAATGAAAATTCTGATCTTTTTCTTTTGGATTTCGGCGAAAAAATAAAGTTAATGATCCATTAGATCACTTTTGTTTAGGTGAGCCCTTTTTCTGTAATTTAATAACGGTATTTACAATTGTAACGACTGTTTTTGTGTGTTGTATCGTTTTTTGATTGTCTGTCTGTTTGATTTACTTCCATTCTGGAATGATTTACTCCTGCTAGGAGCCAACAATTATTGGAGGAAGGCAATAATTTTAGACTTGTACAATGTTAATTATTGTAAATGCCCGTTTTACAAAAGAACTTACGCTTAAGACCAAAATTTTATTCTGTTTGAACTTTTTAATTAACGTTATATTGAAAATGGTTTTTAATAATTTTAAAAGGAATGTAGTAATATATTTTTACACTAGCAATTTTAAACAAAATCATTTATTTTGCAAAATTTTACAATCAATTTAAAGTTTTCGGTCTTAGTCGTAAGTTCTTTTGTATAACGGACCCCTGTACTTTATGCATGGTCTATTAGGAAGGACATGTCTGTATTTCCCACAATGGAATTCGAACCTTTGACTTAAGCAGCAACTCCTTACTCCGCTACCCAGAAATAAAAGATCATCGCTACAATCACCGAGTTACATGGAGGATTCAATCTATATTTTGCTTTAACAACTTTTCCTGAATAATGGAAGATTTCAAAATTGCCTCCCGTGATTGAACTGGATATGGACTTTGAAAATTTCTTAAAAGGTCAAGGAGACTAAAAGTGTCATCTTCATTAATGCAGTTGCCAATGTCTTTCCTTATATAACAACATGATTTAAACTGGCATTCAATTTTCAATGACATGTAGTTGATCATGTGTTCAGACTCTCTTTGGAATCATGGGAGATCCTATATTTGAACTACCAATGGTACTGTTCAATGTTAACATTATTCTAGAATACCTTCTGTAATAAACATTGTTGTACAACTTGTCTATCAAATTTCTTTCGGTGATTCAAACAATTTTCTTCCTTAACCAGTAGAAAAGAAATCATTACTAAAGGAAATCCATATTCTTGATTAGGATAAGTGTGGTTTTGGTATGGGTTTATTGGAAAATTTTTATGATTTTTATAGGTAATATATAACAATCTAGAACAAATTTAAACAACCTTAAGAAAAGGGCATGTCACAGGATGTAATTACACCATTCAGTCGACGGAATGGTAACTGAATGCCCACTGGATGACCACTGAAAGGTCACTGAAAAGTTCCTTTCCCGTGACTTTTCCGTGGTCTTTCAGTTACCATTCAGTCCACCGAATGGCAAATACATTTCAGTTGCCTTTCAGTTATCTTTCAGTTGTATCTTTTTATTGAATAATCGGCTTATTTTTTAACTTAGAAATTTTGTTTCACGTTTTCTTATTATAATGGTATTAAATTAATCTATTTTCGAATAAAAAAATGAAAAAAGTGAAAATAAGGAAAAAAAACTCATAGCCGTAAGCCGGGATCAAACCGTGGCCTCCGCTTGAAAGTCCGTGACATTATCCATTTCGCCAGGGCGTCTTGTTGATTAGTTCGTGATTTAAAATCAATAAATTTGTGGAAATCGAATTGGGACATCCAGTTCACCTGTTGTATCAAGAAGCTGGGCAATGTGTATACATCTTGTATACATTTTGTATTTATGTTAATTGCGCGGATTTTTGGGGCTGACTAATTAACTACACATCTCCTACGGGGATGATAACAATTATCGGCGAGGGGCACCTGTTTTTTTTTTTCTTTTTCCAAAGAAATGATTCAAGATGGATCTTCATCTCGGAAAACGTTGTAGATTCTTAAAGCGAGATCTTTTAACATGCTAAATTATCGTGCTATTTTATAGATCAAGAAACAAAATTTACAATATAAAGGTTCTTCCACAAGAGGCATAAATAATTAATTCTGTTTATTTAAAATAATTTTAAAACGATATCCTTTAGAAGCTAAAATATTATGCGATTTCAACAATTAAGGGGGCCGACTGGGGTTTTCATTGCGCAATACTTCGCGCAGCAAAGTATAATAAAGCGTATTTACTCATTTAAAACATCTATTTTCACAAAATTTTTAAAAAATGACAAATTTAGGAAATCTCTGGTTAAAAAATCTAATTACAATTTTAGATACGGTAACTGATGTTTTAAGCGATTTTTCAAATAATGGGTAGATAGACGTCGTAATAGTGTGTTTTGACGTTATGAATAACCGAAGTTCTTTAAGCAGGATCATTAATTATGTCATAAATTAAAAAGTATTAAATAGATGCTCTTGATAGTTTAAAGATAAAAAATTGAGAATTTCACAATCAATTTTATTATTTTTTATGTAAATATGTGGTATCTGTCATGTTTAGTTCTACTCCATAAAAACAGGAAAATATCATGCATTTTGAAATTTTGAGATGCCCCCTCTGGGAACCAGACGGTAGAATTTGTGTTTCTTGCACAAAATGTACAATATAGAATTACTCATCAAAAAATATAATTTGAGCAAAAAGTCTTTAGTAGCATTTGTATAATATACTCGGAAAAGCGAAAAAAAATTGTATTTTCCTATATAATCCTATTTGTAAATGTACCTGTATTTTGAGATGGTCCCTAAAAAGTAACCAGACGGTAGATTTTCACTAAACTTGACATGTATACTGAAGTCAATGTAAGGTACATATGGCGTAAAATTAAATAGTTTCTCTATAGTAGTTTTCACATAATAAAACCCCAAACGGCTCCCTTAAGAAACAAAATTTACAGTATTCTTCCATAAAAGGCATATATAATTAATTCTGTTTCCTCTTTCATAACCAGATGTTTCCATGAAAACTAACATCATTATATACTCTGATAGATGGATATAAAAATAATAAAAATCTGTTTTAGAGCTTAAAAAAAAAACAGAACTTTTTTCTTGTTTATTTCAGAGCATTTTGACCAATATCCTCGATATTTTTTCTCTCTGTTTATTCATTTAACAACATATCAAATTGAATAAGCTTGTGAAAATATTCATAACAGATTTAGAGATTTTACAGAAAGAAAAAATAAGACAATTCTATTCGCGTTAATTAAATTCTGATACGAATATTGTTTTTCATCATTTGAATAATTTTCTTTTTCCAGCTCAATTTTCATGAAACAAATTAGAAATTCGAAAATCATCTTGAATTTTATGAGTATACAGTTGAATTGTAATCCTTTATGTTTATAGAATTATATTTAGACATGAATGTTATAGTTAATAATCACAATCTAACATTTTAGTAAACAATTTAAAGACGATTGAACATTTAACCATTACCAGTTCTACTTATCTGAATTTTATTTTCAGTAAGAAAACACATTTAAAAATGTGAATGATTTTATTTAAAAAAAATATTAAGGAATAACCACTGATAAACGTATAAAATGCCGATGAAAAGGTAGTTGAATTATGAAATGTGTCCACTGAATGACTGAAAGGTACTGAATTGTGGCTGAAAGTTAACTGAAATGTCACTGAAATGCACCTGCCATTCAGTGACTGAATGGCCACTGAAAAGTCACTGAAAGCCACCTTTCAGTTT